TGGTCGGCAGTCAGATTAGGGATGATGCTCCAGCGATATTCTAACTTTTAGACAAGCCTCGATGCTGTGATTTTAGCTTGATTAGATCTTTATTGTATTTCAATATTCATTTTTGGTTGTTGTGGGGGAGCGGAGAAGGAGTTTTGTTTTCTTTATTCTATACGGTTTTGGGATTCTGGGAGGAGATGGAGGTTTAGACTTTTTTTTTTTTTTAAATTCTTTATTTTGCGTTGACAGAAATTACAGCTTGTAAACAGTACCCGGGCGTGTGCAAAAGCCGGACTTTGTAGAATACAGCGTTCTTTCAGTGATACAGAAAAGAGATAATAGCTTGGTGCCCTCGAAGGCACTTTAGGTTATAGACATTACCTGTCAGTTTTCTGGTTCCATTCCTACTTCCCTAAGCATTTATCTTCTGACTGCGATATTTGCAGTCAGTACTCCTGCCCTTCGCCCTCCATTTTTCCAGCAATATTCAAATTTTTGGTTACTTTGTTTATTGTTAGCACCATTTATTAATTTTTTTAAAATTATTTATTGTTTTCTCCTTTATATCCAAGAGTACTTCTACAAAAAGAAAAGTCCTGCGCTCACTCCTATCACTGCTGGGCGGCAGCAACGACCACAGTACGCATCAGCCGCAATACATATAGTAAAAACTAAAGGAAAAAAGTTACCTGCGCTCCCTCCTTAATCTCTATGTATATTTAAACAAATGGAGGTCATTTAGTTACTCCAATGGCCATTGGAGAGAATGCCCACCTGCCAACGTCAATGCAGACCCCCCCTAGACGGGTCCTACTCTGACCCTTCACCTTGCTTCCTTGAGCGTCTGGCCAGGCGGCCGTTGGCAGGCAGACATTCCCTCCAGTGGCCATTGGAGTAACTAAATGACCTCCATTTGTTTAAATATACATAGGGATTAAGGAGAGAGCGCAGGTAACTTTTCTTTGATCCAAGAGTACTTGTTATATATTGTACCTGTCTACTGCAATTTACAATACTTGTTTTTTTACACTATACTTACTAAAGGTTATTATTTAATTATTTGTTTATGGGTTGCCCTTCTATTATATAAAGGTTAGGTATGAGACAGTCTCCACTTCCCTTTCTTTTCGCTTTCAAATTTATTCATTTACTAATCTAAGTAAGAGCATTTTACATATGTGATAATTTTGGTACCAAGTAGTACGTGATTGAACAAGTCTCCCTAATTTTCCATGAATTGTTGTGCTGGCAATTTAAATGAGAAGGTACAAACTATTTTTGCCACTCTTTGTGTGTATTTTGCCTATGCAATATTTTTATTTTTTCGAGTTAAGTAGATATTGTTGAAAGACGCCTGAACTGATATTGATTTTAAGATTTTTTTCCCACTGTAGACATACTTCTCGGAGTGACACTGATGATATCTGCAGAGGTAAAACTCCTGAACAAGACAACCGATGTCGGGAGGACTTGACATAGAGCCAAAAGCTAGCTCAGATTTTTTTTCCCTTAAAACAATCTGACTACTTACACTGGAGGGGCGCCTGGAAACTCACCCGCTGTAGTGGTTATGGTGCTTGGCATGTTTCTTTTAATTTTGTTTAGTTCCTATTAATAGAATTGTTGCCCCATGTTGGTCCTGGCTCTGACCACAAATCTGCTTCATCTATGTACAATGCATAGACATATCTCACGCTGCGTCTTCTGTAAGCCTTCCCAAAATGCTTTGCTCTGTGGCTTTTATGTAGATGGCCATCTATTAAGCTATATCGTTGCAAACTGATGACTAACGCAATGTGCACATATAATAAGATGGAAGATTAAAACAGAACACTGTCACAATATGCCTATAGCTGCAATTTCAAAATGTTTATTCACTAAACAGCAAATTGTAGTCAATGGAGGATAGAATTACAATATTTAGCTTAAAAAAAAAAATCAAAGATGGGAAGCCAGTATATTTGCAGAATGTATTTATACTGGTTTAAATGTTACAATTCGGTTTTGAGTTCACTACAATTCTGTCTTTTGACCAGTAGAGGGCAAGCTTCCCTCATATATAATAGTTGGTTGCACATATTACTGAGATCTATGGTCTTGTGGGTTCATGTGTTTCCTTGAAAACCCTGTATTTTGTGACTACATTTCACAAACCTTCACAGATATCGGAATATCCACACACTGCTTAGGTATATTCTGCTTTCCCCCACCCCAAAAAAAATAAAATTGTTGACTCCTTGGTCTTGCTCGATAGTTTAGCAACCCATCATCGAGAAGCTGGGGGACATGGGTAAGGATTGAGGAAGTGCGGATTGTGTAAGTGCGCTTAACATTGTATTTTATTTATCTTCATTTTATGATTGGATAATGTTAACACCTGTCTCAGCAGATGCCTTTAGTGGATTCTATATGAGAAGAGCATTGGCTTAGACTGGAGACCAGAGTCGGGTTACAATTGCCCAGGTCATATTGGGTGGGTGTGTGATAGTCAGGGCCAGCCTTAGGCCATTAGGTGCCCTGTGCAAAGAGTCTTCACAGCGCCTCCCCCCTCCCCTCCAACAAAGTTGCCCACACACACCCAAACACACACTCACAGAGCCAAACACAAACACACACACAGTCACAGAGCCAAACACACACACACACTCACAGAGCCAAAGACAAACACACACACACGGTCACAGAGCCAAACACACACACACACACAGTCACAGAGCCAAACACACAGTTACAAGCACACAATCACAATTCCAACTAGCCTTACAAAAACATTCAGACTTACGATTGAGATAAGATTTATTTTTAAAGCTGTTTTTCTATTTACATAGAGCAAGTGACGTGTAGAAACTGACTGTTTCAAGCTTTTTGCCAACAGAGAGTGTTATTGGTATTACAAGTTAAAGGTCAGGGCAGAAAAAAAATATTTTATAGCAAACATGGCCTGATTTGCAAATGGTATCTGGGATACAAGGCATGTATTTTAAACGTATTTAATCAGGATGGCTTAAAGTAATAAGGCCTCAATTTAATAATGTTGGATAAGGTTTTTAAATGATAATCTTTTTTTAAAATTTTATTTATATTTTTTATTTTTGTTGTGCATACAGGATACATATACGCTGACAATGCCACAACAGCAAATACCAGCAGTTCATCATTAACAGTAGTACGGCACATGATAAGAATGCACAATTTTTCTTTTATAAACAAGCTCGCTAGAATAGGTATCAGTATGTAGAGCAGTGAATAACATGACAGACAAACTAGTACATTTCTTGAATAATGCAGGAGAGCAGAATAAGTTGTATGCTTTAGGTTAGGCGCATATGCAGTAAAGGCTAAGTAGGCGAGAGACAGGTAACCTGACTTATAGATTAACATTAAAGCAATGTAACATACACATGTGGTGTGAAGTATTAGTCAGGCTGGGCTAACGTGTCTGAGAGATCAGCATGTACAAAAAATGCATATAGTACTATGCAAGAGGCTAACTAAAACGATAGAACATTTAAAAACAAAACAATAATCCTCAGGTCAGAGCATCCTGTCTAAGCATATGTGTGTTGCTAAGTGGACATGTGCTAAATAACAGAGAACTTATATCGCCCTGGGGAACCCCAGCGCTTAAATGTGAGACGAGGAATGCCCTTCAGCAGCTTCAAACATCAGGCTACCTAGAGCTATAATTAGAGTTGAGTGAACCCGGACTGTAAAGTTCGGATTCGTATCGAACATTAGGTTTTTTGGACCCCGAACACGGACATATCACTGTATGTTCGCGTTGGAATTCGGTGTTCGGGGATTTAATGCCGCGTTTTGAAAGGCTGCAGGGCAGCCAATCAACAAGCGTTTGACTAGTGTGCCCTTAGAAGCCATCACAGCCATGCCTACTAATAGCATGGCTGTGATTGGCCAGTGCAGCATGTGACCCAGCCTCTATATATAAGCTGGAGTCGCATAGCGCTGCACGCACATGCGGTCTTATTAGTGTAGGGAGAGGATGCTGCCGCTGATGGGGACAGCTTAGGAAAGAATTCAAACTAGTACATTAGTGGGGTGGGGTGCACTTCATATCTGAGGGTCAAATAGAAGCTTCAAATACTACGGTTACATCGGAGTTTTAAAAACTCAATTTTTTTTGGTGCTAAATAGTACATTAGTGGGATAGTACATTAATGGGGTAGTACATTAGTGGGGTGCATTCATATCTGAGAGTCAAATAGAATCGTCAAATACTGCTGTTACATTGCAGTTTTAAAACTTAAAATTATTTGGGTGCTAAACTGCTAAATAGTATTTTAGTGGGGTGCACTCCATATCTGAGCGTCTAATAGTGTGCTTACTGCGCAGTTGTAAAAATTCTAATTTTCTGGGTGCTAATCTGCTAAATAGTACAATTTGGTGCCTGTGGTGCACTTCATATCTGAGAGTCAAATCGAAGTGTGGTTTACACAGATTTAACGATCCATTCGTAGTTTCACAGTCAGATGGGCAGTCCGGTGACCAGGACCCAGACACTGTCTGGGTGGCGGTCGGACGACCAGGACCCAGTATGCCTGATGTTAAAGTTAGGATTCACAGTGTGGAATTGTTTAGCAGGGTCTGGTGCAGGGTAACCGCACGCCCCCTGGTGTTGAGCACCAGCGTTTGTGCGGCCACATACCAGGACCGTGATGCAGCTTCAGTAAAAAGAGTACTGGATACCAGAAGCCATCACCAGACTGATCCGCAACTTGGAACAGGATGTGACATTCACTCTAGCGGCGATGCCCGCTTTTGACGTCACCCTGCTGCTGCTCGCCTGTCTGTGCTGCAGCCTAACTTCGGCCTTCCCGCTCACCGCCTCATGAGACTGTGCGGGCAGCAGCAGGCGATAGTGGAGTTTCATCTGCAGCACGCGCTGGTCAGTGGCTCTGCACCAGACTTCCCTCCAATTGATCCGAGTTAAAGGATTTCAAGTGGACTCATTACAATTACAGGGCCTCTAAAGAGTCCTGTATTGTTATTTGTCGTCACTACCTTCCCACGTCGGGAGTGGGTCATTTGCGCGCCTGCTGCCTTCCTTGCATGTGGTAGCTGTTTCTCAGGGTCCCTGTACGGAATGGAACCCTGATTCCCTGTTACCCGTGGTCACCATGGTAGGCGCAGAAACTGGCATTGAAAGTTGGTATGGATGACATCCGCATGCAAAGTCGCCGCCACGGGGATGTGAGATTGGCCCGAGGTTCTCTAGAGTCAACAAAGTGCCTGCGCAACTATAATGTCAACAGCTAATCCTCGGAACAGAGTTGTCTTTTTTTATATGTCCCAATATAATTGGGGACTAACCCAATTAAAAAATATATATATATATAAAAAAAAAACAGTGTTGGCTACCTCATCCTCCTCCTCCACCTCTTCTTCCACCTACACCGCCACGGTCACCGCCTCCTCAACCTATGGGTCACTTAGTATAAACTAGGTACACATTAGCAGAGGCTTGTGAAGGCCTTTTCTCCATGCATCAGGACTACAAGAAATGCACCGCAGGCCGCAAATGTTTCTTTTTTGTATGTCCCAATATTTTGTGGCTACCACAATTAAAAAAATAAATAAATCATAAACAGTGTTGGCTACCTCACCCTCCACCACCACGGTCACCGTCTCCTCAACCTATGGGTCACTTAGTATAAACTATGTACACAATAGCAGAGGCTTGTGAAGGCCTTTTCTCCATGCATCAGGACTGCAAGAAATGCACCGCAGGCCGCAAATGTTTCTTTTTTTGTATGTCCCAATATTTTGTGGCTACCACAATAAAACAATAAAAAAATCATAAACTGTGTTGTCTACCTCATCCTCCTCCTCCACTGCCATGGTCACCGCCTCCTCAACCTATGGGTCACTTAATATAAACTAGGTACACATTAGCAGAGGCTTGTGAAGGCCTTTTCTCCATGCATCAGGAGTTGAGCATTTCTCCATGCATCACGACTACAAGAAATGCACCGCAGGCCGCAAATGTTTCTTTTTTTGTATGTCCCAATATTTTGTGGCTACCACAATAAAACAATAAAAAAATCATAAACTGTGTTGTCTACCTCATCCTCCTCCTCCACTGCCATGGTCACCGCCTCCTCAACCTATGGGTCACTTAATATAAACTAGGTACACATTAGCAGAGGCTTGTCAAGGCATTTTCTCCATGCATCAGGAGTTGAGACATTTCTCCATGCATCAGGACTGCAAGAAATGTACCGCAATGTTTCCTTATTTTATATGTCCCAATATTTGGGGGGCTACCCCAATAAAAAAAAAAATGTTGGCTACCTCCTCCTCCTCCACCACCCCTTCCACCTACACCGCCACGATCACCGCCTCCTCATCCTATGGATCACTTAGTATAAACTAGGTACACAATAGCAGAGGCTTGTGAAGGCCTTTTCTCCATGCATCAGGAGTTGAGCATTTCTCCATGCATCACGACTACAAGAAATGCACCGCAGGCTGCAAATGTTTCTTTTTTTGTATGTCCCAATATTTTGTGGGCTACCACAATTAAAATAATAATAAAAAATAAATAAAACTTTTATAAAATATATAAAAAACAGTGTTGGCTACCTCCTCCTCCTCCTCCTCCACCGCCTTTTCCACCTACACCATCACAGTCACCGCCTCCTCAACCTATGGGTCACTTAGTATAAACTAGGTACACAATAGCAGAGGCTTGTGAAGGCCTTTTCTCCATGCATCAGGACTGCAGGAAATGCACCGCAGGCCGCAAATGTTTCTTTATTTTATATGTCCCAATATTTTTGGGGCTACCCCAATTAAAAAAACAAAAAAAAAACGTGTTGGCTACCTCCTCCTCTTCCACCTACACCGTTACGGTCACCGCCTCCTCAACCTATGGGTCACTTAGTATAAACTATGTACACAATATCAGAGGCTTGTGAAGGCCTTTTCTCCATGCATCAGGAGTTGAGCTCAGTTTGAACAATGAAAGAGAATACCCTGCACTCCAACCCTCTCTCAAATGGATAATTCTGGTGATCCTCCTGACAGCCATGCTTTAGATTTTGATTTATGTTCTTCCAAAGCTAAAATCAAAGATTCCATCTAGTGCTGTTTTATGGCTCAGCTGCATTTTTAATTTTTATGTTATTTTAAGTGATTTCCCTATCCACATTTGTTTGCAGGGCACTTGTCCTACTCTTACCCCCATTTCACTTGCTTTTTCAGCTCTCTAGCTCTTTCCAGGAGTTTTTCAGAGGCATTTTTGTGGCCAAAAGTTCGGGTCCCCATTGACTTCAATGGGGTTCAAGTTCTGGGTCAAGTTCGAGCCCGAACCAGGACTTTTTTTCAAAGTTCAGCCGAACCCGCCGGACCCGAACATCCAGGTGTCCATTAAACTCTAGCTATAATACATTAGATGAAGGTAATCTGGTGGAGTTACCTCAGCTGCATGAGTTAAGGTTCAACCAACCCCCTCCAAAGGCATAGGACAGTTCTGGGTTGTTCCAGCTACTTGTATACACCACATTTCCGATGACAGTCTGTGCGGCTCCACGGTGCTGCGACCGTCTGTTTAGCAATGTTATCTCACAGCGATTGCCGGGCATCCAGGCTGATGACTGTGCAGGTCTTCAATAGCGTTGGGCTTCTGTGTGTGTTTCAGTGTGTATCCGAGTGTGTGTGAACAAGTGTGTGTAAGTGTGCCTGTGTGTATGTATCTAAATGTATCTGTGCATCAGTGTGTGTATGTGCCAGTGTGTATATCTGTGTGCCAGTGTGTCAATGTATGTGCATGTGTCTGTGTGTATCTCTGGGTATCGATGTATGTATGTATGCATATGTGTCAGTGTGTATATGAATGTTTGTGCATGTGTCATGTGTTTATCTGTGTGTTAATATGCATGTTTATCTGTGTAAATATGTATGTGCAAACATCCCAGCAATCAAACACAAACATTACACACAAACACCACTGCATTCAAACTCCAAAATGATATACAAACACACCCCTTCACTTAAACACCAATCCTACACACAAGTGTACATCCGTATTTAAAAGCCAACACTACATTCAAGCACACCCCTGTGTTAAAACGCTACAATTCTAAACAAAAACCAACACTACACACAAAAGCACATTTAGAAGCCAACACTTCCAAAAGTACCCCCGCATTCAAACGCAAACACTACACACAAGTACACCACTGCATTCCAATGGCAACAGTACATACAAATAGACCCTTATATGCACACACATACTTTATACAAAAACATTGGTCACAAAAACAACCCTGCAAGGAAGGGCAATTGGTAGATCCCCAGCTGGCATAGCATCATGGGAATTGTACAACAAATGGAGATCTATCTTTTCTCCACTCTTATGATAGAGGTAGGCCCAAAACATTTCTTGCACCAGCAAAACATAAAGGAATTATCAATATATCAAAATAAAAATATTTTTCACAATATGAAATCATTTTAAAAATGCATCAAAAAAGATTAAATCCTTTGAAAAGCGTGTCCAAAATTATTAAATTGAGGGTTACATCGGAACATGATTTTAGTAGATGTAAAATGTAGATATATTTATAAAGTAGTGCTTGATACAGTACAAATAACGTACAGTTGGGTGTCTTTGTAAAAAAAGGGACCTGTTCCACTATAGCTTAATGAAGTGGTTCTGGTGATTAGTAATCACAGGAAAATAATGGAATTAAATACTACTAATAATAAAACAAAAATAGGTTGCGCGATGTACACTGTCCCAAATCGCTATGGACATTTAAATAGTAGGAGGCTTTTAACATCACTTCTAGGCAAATCTCTTAGGTGAGTCCTACACTAACAACTCACCTTGCAGCTTTCTAGCTTCTGCAGTGGGATGGACTGCACGGTTGGACATTTTGGCATTGTCCAAGGGCCCTGTACGGGAGGGAGGTTGGGCTGCGGGCACATTCTGGTGCTGAAGCTGGTGCTTTGACTGTCTCCTAAGACTGTGGCAACGGCTGTGTGTGCTACCTAGTGTTGTGGCAATTGCTTTGTGTGCATCCTGGTTCTGTGGTAAGGGAAATCTGGTGCTGTGATGTGAAAAGCACTGTGGGGGCAATCTGTTGCTATAGCAATCTTTCAAGGGGGCAAAAATGGCCTGGAGAATTCTTACCTGCAGGGGTTAAACCATTCTCCCACAAATTAACTCAGGGATGGGGGATACTACATTTTTAATATTTAAACTTACATTAGTTGGCCACCATTGTAGAGACAGGGGCAACATTAGAATTAATATTTAAACTTACATTAATTGGCCCCATCGTAGAGACAGGGGACACATTAGAATATTTCCCCTCTGCTTTTTAATTGAGCCATCCCCACCCAATTGCCACAGTGATTTGTCCATCTCCGTTATTTAATATGAAGCCCCGACCTGATGTCCACAGCTGGGGACATGGGGACCTGTGCATGTTCTTCTATAAATTAGTAGTGGCTGGGTAGCAATTGGCCAGCATTAGCAAGTATTTTATGGCAGCGGACATACCCACACTCGTGACATGGTGAGTGGGAGCAGAATGGAGGTAATAAACTTTGCTTATTTTAATGTGGTGGGTCATATAGCCATGTTAACCCCTGTAGGCCTTTTAAAAAAAATAATAAATAAAAAATTCTTTATTTTGAAGGTGCACGTTGACATATGATGAGTTACAGTGACATATTTAAAAGATGCATTATAGCATAATATCGGTTTAGAGGTATCACATAACTTGTCAAGTGGAACCGCACTCAATTTTAAATTTTTTAACATGTTGTGTTACAAGAACTGGTAACAGTGTAAGAGGGTACTCCCAGGCTTATGGCCCCTTTAGGAGTGTAGCCAACATGCCAGATAGCATCCATAGAGGTTGAGACTTAATGTTTAAGCTGTTGTTGCAAATTGAGGTAAAGTAAATTAAAGGTAATAACCGGAAGTAAACAAGTTGAGACTCTACTAGTGCAACTGTGAGCCACCTGAGTAGATATACATCACTTTAGGGAACATGGGGCGAGCACAGGCCGCCTGTAGTTCTGCTGTATGAGTTATCGTAGCCTTATGGGCCGCCCCGTGCGCCTGTGAAACATTGAACCGCCATGGGTTGTTGCCCTAAGTAAAACATATCACGTTTAACTGAGAGTATGCTGCAAGTATTGTAGGTGTAGTGGGGAGTTGGGGGTTCTGCGCCACCATCGCTAAGTCCGGTCATGACACCAGCCAAGGCCAAGTGAAGAAGGAGCGCAGGACCCCAGATAAAATGAGAGAATAAGATTATAGAAAATTATTACATAATAATAT